TGTCGCCCCCCCCCCCCCCCCCCCCCCCCCCTCGGGCTTAACATTGATAGGTGCATTAGTTTGGGCACTAAATAATGTAGTTTATGGTTGGGATCAGAACATGTTTCTTCACAGGGCCGAACGAAGGATTTTTTCACCAGGGGGCAGTAAGGCCTATATGCCGAAAAACGTCTTAAATATCCAAAGAATAATTAACAATGACATTCTAAAAATCGGAAATATAGTTTTCTGTGGGGGGCAGTTGCCCCCCTTGCCCCCCCTCCCCCCCCCGCTGTGTACGGCCTTGTTTCTTCAAAAAGTTTATTCGTTAGTTATTCTCTTCGTTCGTATGAAGAACATAACAGTTTTTTAGTGCGTCCTGATAATTAATGTTTGGCAATATGATTTGCATTGCGCGTTTTTGGATACGTTCTAATTCGTCTGACAAATACTTGGCCTTGGGTAATACATTGTGGAAAACAGGACAGGCGTATTCGGTTATAGGGCGAATACAAGTCATGTAAAAGTTCCTTTTCGGCAATTTCGGCCACGTTTTAATTGCCTCAGGAAATACAACAGTGGAAGCTACAAGGGTGGGTAGTAGCGAAGTAGTTGTAGTTCGCTACTGTAGCGAACTACAATTTTCAAGTAGCCAGTAGTTTTTGACTACTTTTTTAAAACAGTAGTTGTAGTTATAGCGAACTACATTTTGCCTAAAAGTAGCCAAATAGTTGACTACTTTTCCAACAGCGAATCGCTATTCGCTACTTTTTTAAAATTGTTAGCAACCGTTCATAGAATAGAATGATATTAAGACACGATTTGCTTAAAATATTATTTTATACAGTAAAGTTCATTTTAGCACAATGAAAAGTGGCACTCCTGAACACTGTAGTGCTTACAAAAATGTTGCTTTGACCCTTTTTGTTTACTGTTGCTACTCCTAAGTCGATTTGTTATAGGTTATATTACAGCCTGAGCTAGTGGATGCTCCAAATACCGTAAAACTAAAAAATATAGAGTAGCGAAATAGCGAAATAGTTCGCTACATTTTTTAAGCAGTAGCTGTAATCAGTAGCGAACTACCTTTGTTCAAAAGTATCAGTAGTTGTAGCTGACTACATATTTTTGAAGTAGCTGTAGTTATAGCGAACTACAAAAATTTTGTAGTCAACCCACCCTTGGGAACCTAATTGTTCAAAGATGGGTTAGCAGCGCGAATCCTCGGTTAAAATTTAACCCGTGTCTTTGTGTTTATTTTAAAACTTCAGGAAAGTAAAACCCAACCAATGAATATTATAACCGAAGCTAGGATCTCAAACAACCAGCCCCTGAATATTATCAAGTTGTATTGCATAACTCTAATGTCTGTGCTGTATAAAAATTAAGCTGAATTAGTTCTGATAAAAATGCATGGCCGTGGGTGTCTAAATGGCAAATTTCAGACTGTATGTTCTCAATTTACTGGGTTCAGTCGTTATCAGGAATAAAAAGACTAAAACATAGTTGAAAGTTTGAGAATATTAAAATGTTTATTTTCGGACCAGGCCGGCCATTGAGATGAAAGGTTTGTTTTCTTTCCACTGCCACATGCACCTCAAGTATTTCTTTCAGGTTTGAATTCTATGATTTGCATACTATACGACACTCCACTTAATTATCAAAAGAAAGTCAATTTTAATTGCGTTGGCCAACGTCGTGAAATTTAGCCGGTTAATTTTTAGCGGTTGCATGGTTATCTTAAATTTTATGTTTCCACTCCTAGAGACTTAACTATCGTAGCTGGATACAAAAAGCAGTCAAGTTTGGTAAGCAAAGCTATCGTTTAACGTGTTTCTTTTGTTTAATTTTAGTTTGCAATTCCTGGAGGCTTAAGTATCGTAGCTGGATACAAAAAGCAGTCAAGTTTGGTAAGCAAAGCTTTGGTGGAGGGGGGTATTATTATTGAGTCGATTGGTATTTCCATTGCACAAATGGCCGAAACGCTTTTATATTATAAGAAAAATGACGGTTACGGTTTTCACGAAACCATAACTCATTTTTCTTATAATATAAAAGCGTTTCGGCCATTTTTCTTCAACAGATAAACAGGGGATTTTGTTTCGAATTTCGTTTAAAAAAAAATCACGAAAGCTTATAAAGGTAACTAACATATGATCAGGCGTTCTTGAAGGTTATATATACTAAAACTACCCCCGTCTGATTATGGTGTACTAACTAGTTGTTATTAAAAATGATCATGCCTTACGGTTTACAAATATTAATACGACAAAATGTTATTACTAAAATGTATATAATCACTTGGATTACAAACTCTAACATTCTAATATTACTACTTACTCTGGCTTTCTTTCAAAACGCTTAGAAGGTTGATAAAATTAGACGAACTTTAAAGAGGCTGTCAAGTCCGTTCTGCTCACGCGCGTGTTTTGTTTAGGCTACATTTTTGTTTCAAACAATAGATAATTTAATTAAAATTCCGATCTGTGGGCCTCCAAGCAAGTTAGCTCATTACGCATTCAGAATATATCACGAAGGAGAAATTGAACTACTAAAGCAAAAATTTAGCCCCAAAACAACAAATTTTAAATCGAAAACGCTAAGAAGCACTTCTTACAGAGGTACGGACAAAATTTGATAGAAATTTGTACACATTTTGTCCATACCTTTGTATAAAGATGTGTTTCTCAACATTTTCAATCTTAAATTTGTCATTTTGGAGCTAAATGTGTACACAGCCTCTTTACACAGCCATACACAGCCTCTTTAAAAGTGAAACAGTAACCACGTGTAACTTGATCCTTGTGCGTCTATCCAGCTGAAGGAACGGCGCTTTTCAATGTAATGGAACAATGACTATTAGTCCCTTGTTAGAAACGTTTTATGATGATGATAATAATAATAATGATAATGATAATGATAATGATAATGATAATAATAATAATAATGATAATGATAATGATAATGATAATGATAATAATAATAATAATAATAATGATTTATTAGCGATTCCAAATTGAATTGGCTCTTCTCAACCCTCGAAATTCGCCTCGACACTCGGCAATTGCCGACGCAAATGCCGAGGCAAGTGACGATTTTTCATAGTTTGCCTCGGCAAAAAAATGCCGAGGCTGAATTCCACCCGTTGTATCTTAAATTACAAACTACAGTATCTGTTCGTTTTGGGTTTCTTGCTTAAATTTACAAACTACAGTGTTCGTTTTTTGTATCACTTCTTTTGTTCGAATTGTTGTCATCGACGTCGGGTGAACAACAGAAGATTTCATTCATAGCTACTTTACACTAAAATATTTAAATTTGAGCTTTTCAGCTTCGGCTTCGGTTGAAATAAAGAACGATCTTGATGAAAAAATGCTAGTCAGAATCGTATATTTTCACCGTTGTAATATGCGATTCTGACTAACATTTTTTATCAGACTCGTACTTGCTTATTTTTTCTCCACTTGGCGTGAAAAACATGTCATTCAACAGCTAAAAGCCTGATCTTTTCGAATATGAAAAAAAATGTTCATACGCCGAATAATTCAGGTACAATAGCGCGCTGAAGTTCGATTACCTTTTTTTATACACCCTGTAAATAAACATGACATTAACGGTTTCTTATTGGATAGATTTAATTGGATATAGTAATGTTTATGCAAAGGCGGAGCCAATTTGACAAGAGCGAAAAGTGGGCGTATTTCGTTTCCTGATGTGTTGTTGGCAGTCCCTCATTTCTTCGAGGGACTGCTCGCGGTCTATGTACGGCTAAAACCGCATAGGCACCAGACCCCTCCCGGTGGTCAAAACTTCATCAGCATAAAGAACTTAACTTATTAAGCACACAACTTCAACTTGTCTTTTAAATTAAAGAATCACATAGAGATTATTAGAAAAGAATTACATAAGAGATTTATAAAGAATTATATAGGTAATCATTGAAAATTCTCCACGCTCATTGGTTGCCGTTGAGGTGATTATAACGCGTTAATGGCCTAAGCGATTTTCAAAATGGCGGCCGAAGCCGTTTTGTCAATTAAAGCCCCGTTTACACTACGCTCAATTTTTGGTACCGTACCACTTTTTGGTTCTTGGACTACCTAAATAGGTAGTCCTAGAACCAAAAAAGTGGTACGGGTACCAATTTTATCCGTGCCGTACCAAAAATTGAGCGTAGTGTAAACGGGGCTTAAATGACGAAGAAATGTGTATTTTTTATTTTTTTCCACATAATCACCTATGAAATTATACTAAAACAATTATTCACGTCAGGCTCGGTGATTATCGTGAATAAAAACCTCGACACAGTATAGGGAGGGACGGTAGTGTCACTTAGAGGTACAACGTGTCCTCGTATTTTTATGCAAAAATATGCAGTTTATACTGCATGGCTAGGACGAGCCAGTTCAGCGTGTTTATTGGCCAGAACATGCAGTTTACTGGCTGAGCAACATGCATAATGCGATGTGTGCGAGGACAGAAACTTCAAAGAATCCGACGTAAGTGGCCCTACTGTCCTTCCCTATACTGTGACCTCGACTTAGTCTCGGTTTTTATTCACCGATAATCACCTCACCCTCGGCGAATAATTGTTAATTAATCTAAAATGAGCTTACGAAAACATGTCGTCAAACAGGTTAAAACCAATGCATTTCTTTCTAGAAATAATGCAAGTCATTAAAAATTTTGCATAGCATGTTCAGTTGCCATGGCTATAGCTTCGCTACTGGCAGATGCTAATCAGAGCATTGAGTATTTTTATAAAGGACAACGATGTAACAATGGGGTCATAAATATTTATAGTTGTGTTAAGAATAGTTCAGGAAAAAGTGATCAGTTAATTAATGTATTTTGTGAATAGCAAAATTTAATAAAAACTATAGCATAGCCATAGTGCTGTGCGCCGGAGTTGCCGGAGCCGGAGTTCTGCCGGAGCTCCGGCGGTTTTTCCGACGACAAGAAAACAATATGAAATGAGACAAATGTCAAACGATTATTAGTTACTGCAAACTGCCAATTGCTGTTAATGAATTCATCATAGACTCAAACTGCCACAGCCCACAGGAACAGCGTCGAAAAGCTGTAATACGATCGCAACTTACAAACGTCATGCTTTCATGAAGCCATCTGACTTAGCGCTACATAGTCTGTGTATTCATGCCTTGTAGATAACGAAAAAGTACAAAACAAATAAATATCTACCTTTTGAAAATGGCAGAGTACTTTGTTTGCGTGCGAACAATTGCGCTGTGGAGTCTGAGAGTGTTAGCGTCATGCCTCGCGTCATGCCTCGTGTCAAAGATTTTTCGAGGCTGGTTTCCATATAGATATTTTCTGCGTGGTTAAGTCTTAAGTATTTTCACTGTTTTGTTTCCTGAATTATGTTATCTGATAATTAGGAAGCGCGAAAAGGGTTATTCATAATAATATTAATAAATGTTCTCTGATCGTAAAATATTTATTTAATATTTTATGATGTGGCCGGAGCCGGAGCTCAGAGCTGTAATTCGGCCGGAGCCGGAGATGAAAAACCGGAGTTTGCACAGCACTACATAGCCATAATTTTTGTAAACCAGCATATTTCGAGCATAATGTGCCAGTTTAACTGGTACAATCGAGAAAAGCGTATTCAGGGCATCCTGGTATGGTTCATTCCGTATAAAATGCATTTCAAACACTCATAAGCTTATTGGCAAATCATGTCAACGATAATATGTCACGTGAAGAGGCTTTAGGGACCGGTCATTAGTAGGGAGCTTAAGCATGTAGGACGGCAACACCACGACGACGACCAAAACAAATTCCTTCAAATAAATGATAGTAAAGAAAACTTGTCGTATATTATAACTCGTATGAATTTAATACAGTATAAGAAGTTGAAAACATTGGCTTTATGTTTGGGAAGAGTTCTACTGAACCGAATTTTAAGTTGCACTTGTTACGGCTTGAAATGCAGGCGTTGTATAAAAGACGTGAAAATCTGTGATTTGCCGTTGTAAACAGAGCGACGACTACGTCTGGAACTCCCCTGGGACTTTAATTATTTATTTCTTTTCATTGACTCATTGTATTGGTTGCGGTTGTCTTCGTGTTGCCGTCCTACATGCTTAGGTTCCATAATGAAGAGGGGGGGGCCGCTTCAACAATTTTTGCCTGAATTGAGGGCGGCCTCATACTGAAAAATATGTTACAAGGGGCGACCCCAAATTTTTAATGTTGAAAACATATTATAAAACAAAAAAGCTACTATAATTATGTTATATTTTATATAATAGAATAATATGAAACAGTTCGACTTAAATACATCTTAAATAGTATTAGTCTGTTTTATAGAGAAACTTTAAAACTTATTATTAACTAAAAATTAATTTTAATTTTAAATATAAAACAATGCAAAAAAGTTCACCATTCAAAGGACACCTTTTGGTATAATTTTACAACTGATTTAATAAACTGAACAGAACCCTTCTAACGAATTAAAAGTTGGAGGGGAGTTCTTAAATAATTTCGACAGGTGCGGCTTTAAAAAATGTTCAATATTTGGTATTTATCACACCCCCCCCCCCCCTTAATAACCGGTCCCTTATACTTGATAAAACTCATCTTCTTTAGTATTCTTCATATAAAAGTCCATCCTAGTTATATTCTTTATATAAAGAATACTAATGAGACGGCATCTATTGTAGTCGTGTTTGAAGTTATTCAAAACACTTGTATAGTCGTGTTTTATCATATTTAAAATGCTCGTGCTGCGCACTCGATAAAACACTCGTACGCTTGTTTTAAATAGTACGTAATGGGAACATTTAGCATTATTTTATCCAGACAAACAGCCTGAAGTTGAACATCGCTTTCTATATTTTATTTTAGTTGGCTGTTGCACTTGGTACACATATCATAGGAACTATTCTCGCGATTGTTGGAATGTCTATTGGAGCCGCGTTCTGGGCTATACTGGCTTCAACTTGTGCTGATGCTTCTTATTCAACAATCTTCAATCGCGACTATTGTACTTGTCTTTACGGCAACGATCCACAAACATGTAAGTTTTTTTATTTTGCACTTGAAGTCACGTGGAATACTGCAATTAGTGCAAGCGATGTTAAAATTCAATTCTCTCGCTCCCTTGTATAGATGCGGCTAGTTGCTCCGATCTGAAAACTGTTCGCGAAGCTACTGGTGCTGTCACGATAATCTTCGCCCTTTATGCTATCGTCACTTTCGTGGGATCAATTTATGGCTGCATTGGAACTTGCTGTGCACCACGGGTAAATTAAACATGCTTGGTATAGATATTTATTTTTATAATTGTAAATGCCGGCTAAGTAAATACATACAGTAACTTTCAAAACGCCGCAAATCGCACCCAGGGGCCGGTTGTTCAAAACTGAGTTAACGCTAACCGTTGGTTAAAATTTAACCTGCTGTTTTAGTTTGTGTATTTCTGCACGTCTGTTTATTTCAAAATTTCAGAGAAGTAAACCAGGCATTAAAATAACCGTGTTTTTTACACACTTTGTGTAAAAAGAAAAAAAGAAAAATGTGTGAAAATGAAAACTTTGTTATAAAAGGAAAATGTGTGAAAAGTGTGTACTTGGGACAGTGTATTTTGTCTTGGGAATAAAGCCCAGAAAATCCATTCCCAGTCATTTCCCACAGCAATACTATTTAAAGTAGCTAATCATGTGTTTATTGCCTGATGATAGCCAGATATATCTTTCTGGTTTATATTTTCTGGTTTTTCTGTTCATAACATGTCAAGAAACGCCTGTAAAATTACCAACAATTTCAATTATTTTCCTATAGGCGCAGTTTCATGATAATGGCAATATCCGCAGAAATCATGCTACAAAAATCAGGACTCGCCTTTAAGAATTTTCATCAGACAATAGACCTTTCCCCTTATGAGTGAAATTTTGATCTAGATATGCCTGGACAAAAATTTCATCACAGCTTGAAAGAGCATCACAAAATTTAGTAATATTCCGAAGTTTCGTTGCGAAATGTTGTAAAATGCGGATAATATAGCCTTGCGAAGTTTGCCGTTTTTCAGTCATTTTGCATTACAAACGGGAAATTGATAATGAGATGATCAAACTGATTGTCAATTTCCCATTTGTAATACAAAATGACTGAAAAACGGCAAACTTCGCAAGGCTATATTATCCGCATTTTATACAACATTTCGCAACGAAACTTCGGAATATTACTAATTTTGTGATGCTCTTTCAAGCTGTGATGAAATTTTTGTCCAGACTTGTCTAGATCAAAATTTCACTCAAAAGGGGAAAGGTCTATTGAAAATTCAGTGATTCTTGTTAGATAGCCTCAACCATTGGACTAAACGTCCCAAAAGTGCCAAAACGCGGCGCTTCTGCATGTGACCCCCAAATTATAAATATTTACTGATACCGCACTGAAAGATATATGCATTAGCTCAAGATATAACTAGTTCTTGTTCAAGTTACGGTAAAAATTAAAAGTTATTGGCCCTCATTTTACCTATTTGAAACAAATTTTTGCCTTTAAAAGGCATTGAACTTTAACGAATATTCAATAAAGCGTTTTCTTTGTTGACGAGTATTTGTTCTCAAGCTAGTCTGCCACACTTCCAAGTGATCATTGCCCTTGGCGTGGACGTAAAGTGTGTCCTTGTAAAAAATTCTTATTTTAATGCCAAGATTTAATGCCTTATTTTAATGCCAAGATTCAGACAAGATTTCTGAAGAAATATTTCCAAATTTATAAACAAGCTGTCAGCAAGTTTATTTTGAATTTTAGGTTAACCTATAGGATTAAGCTAACCCAGCTTAGAGTATAAGGCCCCTGCATGAATGTCCAAAAAACACGAAATTTTCGGTTAGACTAATCTGAACATGAAGATGTCAATTCTGGAGTTCAATTTGTGCCAGAAATGAAGAAGAAAAATCGATAATGCAAACTAGCTGAGATTGGAGGATATTTACTTCTTAACTGTGCACAATTTTCCGCTGCACGGATTCAGAATAACTTCAGCTTCTCAACTCAGTGTCAACTTTGACACTCAAATCTTAAGTTTTAATTTACAAATATTTTCTTTTATAATGAAACTAGACAGTAATAAGTCCTTTGTAAGTTTGCATGGCGATAAAACATATAATAGTTTTGTTTGTGGAAACACCACGTAAATTAATTTATTACTGCAAAGCTTTCGATCCGTCAGCCCGAATCTTCATCAGTGCTATAATAATATGTGACTTGTTCAATTCACACGCCCTTTTTTATTTACGTGGTGTTTCCACAAACAAGACTATTAAACTATACAGTATCTTTAAATATTATCATGATACCCCTTGGGTTAATGTTTTCTCGCACAAAATTTTCTTTGATTTTCTCTTCGGTGCCACAGACCGCGGACTCAGAAAAGATTCCAATAATAAAGATATTACGTACATGCTTGTGACTGCAAGTCTGCTATAATAACGTTAACTGCAGATCGATATGGCTAAATAATGGTAAATTATATCTCCGTCCTCCTAATACGAAACTTTGTGGGACTAATGGACATCGCCCAAAGACAAATTGACTAAATTTTGGTTAAATTTGGATGAAAATTTCATGAGAAATTAGGAAAAGTTTGTCTTCCTTTGCCGGGTAGAGTAAAGTGAATCAGCATAATTTATATTTCATTGTATAATTTATGCATGATATTTATAACTTAATTCGCTGGCTTGGTCCCAGTCTCCAAGTCCCCTATAGTTCTGTAATTTATTTAGTCTCAACTTCTGTTCAAAATCACTGGGAAGAAATAAGCCCTAGGAGGCCAAACTCTTCTGGCCGGTTAACTTCTGAAATAATCCTATTGGGGGTTACGTTATTATTCCTGGTTAAATTCCCTGGACATTTTAATATACTTTTTTAGTGTAGTTAGTTTATCAGGAATTCCTCAATTAACCTGGGCCCCTGGTTATTTATCACCAGCTAACATATTCCGGTTACTTTAACATACAGGACGTCCTGGTCAAATATAACCACATTCCTAGTTTCCTTAACCAGGAAATGAGATAAAATAACCAGGAATATTAAGTTAAAGAGGCTGTCAAGTCCGTTCTGCTCATGCGCGTGTTTTGTTTACATTTTTTGTTTCAAGCAATAGATAATTTAATTAAAATTCCGATCTGTGGGCCCACAAGCTGGCTCATTGCGCATTCAGAATATATCAAGCAAGGAAAAATTGAACTACTAAAGCAAACATTTAGCCCCAAAACAACAAATTTTAAATTGAAAGCGCTAAGAAGCACTTCTTACATACAGGTATGGACAAAATGTGTACAAATTTCAGTCACATTTTGACAATACCTGTGTGTAAGAAGTGCTTCTTAGCGTTTTCCATTTAAAATTTGTTGTTTTGGGGCTAAATGTTTGCTTTAGAAGTTCAATTTTTCCTTGCGTGATATATTCTGAATGCGTAATAAGCCCGTAATGAGAATTGTGGGTCCACAGATTAAATGATCTATTGTTATGTTTGAAACAAAAATGTAAACAAAACACGCGCATGAGCAGAACGGACGTGACAGCCTCTTTAACCCAACTAGTGTTATTTATAGGTCACAAAAATAACATATCTTAATTGCTCTTAATAGGAACCAACTGTTATCATCACAACAGCTCAACAACCAAACACAATAGTGATGACCACAGCACAAGCACACTCGGTCTACAACCAACAACCACCACCACCGTATGGTCAACCTGCTGGTCAAGGTCAAATGGTCATCGATAGCAAACCTTGATTACATCGTTAAGAACAGTTCTGGATGTGTCACAGTTTATAAACAGAATTTGACATTTTGCTATATATATATATATCATCATATAATAACCATAGCTAGCTTTTAGGTTAAATAATGCATTTCAAAAGCTAAACGCCTTAACATACACTTATGTATCTACAGTATAAGTTTAATTAGTAACTTAATAATATGCATGGAAACAGGGGCGGATCTAGGGGTCGTCAAATCAGTCGCGCGACTGAAGTAAAAATTGCCTACTTAAAAAAATTTGACTCCAGCTATCTATAGTGGCCAGTAGATTGAATTACTAAAATTTTGAATCGTACCTGTAGTCCAGTTATACGTTTCATGCTGCGGCAGAGCTTCGGCAAAGTAATGTTAGTCAGTCACGAACAGCGGTCTTACGCATGAAAGTTGACGGATTCGGG